TCGGAGCGCTGGGATTACAGGCATGCGCCACCACACCTGGCTTTTTATTTATTTACTTATTTATTTTTAAGATTAAAGTCTTGCTATGCTGCCCGGACTGGGCTTAAACTCCTGAGTCTAAATGCTCCCCCAACTTCAGCCTGCCAAGTAGGGGGAGTTCAGTTCACAGTAGCACCCTGAGCCATGACTAGCATGTAGCGGGCACTCCACAAATATGCATCAAGGAATGACTGCCCTGGAGGAAAAATGTGTGCTGAGAACAAGGGGAATCCTATGGCACTGCCCTCCCGTACCACACTGACTAAAGCAAGCAAAGCATTTGAAAATAATCGCCGAGTGCTGGATGCTCTAGCCTGTGTTCTGTTGTGTGATGAAACTTTTTTAAACTGATGGGTTTAGTGTTTTCCCTGGTTGTTGCTGTTGTGTGTGTGTGTGGTACTAGGGATCACACTGTAGTACGGAGCTGTATCTCAAGCCGTGGTTGTTGTGTTTTAAATGCTGAAGCAAGTTTTCATCCAAGTGAAAAAGCTTAAAGACCAAAAGATGTATTTATTTTACAAACTGCAGTCCCATTCAGTGATAAAAGAAATGAACTACTGGCATACACAACATGTGGATGAATGTGGTATCCACCAAGCATTGGGAAGTCTGACTTGAGAGAGTGCGTACAAAAAATTCCATTTACAGGATCTTCTAGGAAATGGAATAGAAGGCAAAACCATAAGGACAACAGCTCCACAGTTGCCAGGGATGAGGTGACATGGAGGACGGGTTACAAAGGGGCAGCACAGGGAACTGGGAGGGTCCTGGAGAAACTTTGTATCATCAATGCAGGGAGGGAGCGAGCTCTCGGAATACACACAAAACTATATGCCACAAAGTAAATTGTATAACACATAGTACTTGTTTCTCAGAAACCAGTAGATCCCTTTCCACACCTTTTATCAAATGCCACGTTCTCCAGACAGCAGTTGCTTTCACGGTTAGTTATATCTCCTGGTATTTACTTCTCGACTCTGAAGTCCATAATCTACTATTGGAGTCTTCGGTGTTAGGTCTTAGATATTGACTTCATAGGAAGTCAGTATAGAGGACGTGGAGTTATCCCTTCATCTTCCTCTCTCTCCCATGCATACCTACCTGTCTCAGCCTCCAAACTGCCAACACTTGAGAGATTACAGGACAGGCGCATTTGAATATACTATGAAGATTTACACAGCTACAGAAGCATTCATGACACAAACAGAAAATTAAATATAAAAAAATCATTTTTCATGGAAATTGTAAGAAACACCCAGCACTCAGGAGACTGAGGCAGGAGGATTGCTGTGAGTTTGAGACCAGCCTGGGCTACATAATGAGTTCCAGGTCAGTCTCAACCACATAGTGAGACCCTGTCTCAAAAAAACCAAACAAAAACAAAAACAAAAACAAAGAAAAACAAAAAAAAAAACATAAGAAACACCTAAGGAAAAAAGTGATTATAGTAAATGACATGGCTTATTTGAGTATTTACAAGGTTTTAATGTCAAAAGTGCTATCTGCCAAAAGTATGACTTCTCTTCTTGAATTTTTCTCCGGGAGTACTTCACCTTGCTCCAATCAGGATCCCTTTGTGTGCTAGGTGAATTCTAGGACATCTCCCAACTTTAACCTTGCAGATTCCTTTCACACTCTTTTGGGTTGAAGGTCTTCTTTTCTAGATCCTTTGTTGTGTGTCAAGGAGAGTCAAAATCCTCTAATAATTTCCCTAAAAGAGTACATAAAATCTATAGAGACCTCCAATCTCTTAAAAGGTCTTTAATCCATCTTCCTATTTACCTGATGGATGGTTTAAATAAGGGATTCTGATGGGAAGTTTTCCCTCAGCATTTTGAAGGCGTTTTGCTCCATTATCTTCTGGTTCCTGTTCTTGCTGTTAAGAAACACAGAGCTTTTTAATTCTTGACCTCCGTGTGGACCTATTTTCCTCTGGAAGCTTTTAGTTTTTTCCACTATGTCCCCAGTGTTAGTAAACTTACAATACATCTTGGTGTAAATCTTTGAAAATTATGCTTAATGCCTTCAATTTGAAAAATAAGACCCTTAATTATGCAATTTTCTGTTGTTTATATTATTCTCAGTCATCCCTCTCCCCATGATTGTTTTTTGGACCTCCTGGCTAATTTTTTCATTTGCTTAGCTTTCTTCTCTATTTCCATCTCTTTGCCTTTGTTTACTCTTTTGGAGAGGTCCTTAACTTTTTTTTTTTAATTGAGTTTATTGGTACATTTAGGGATACAGTACAGTTACATTCATTGTTGGGATCATGTACCTTTACATGGCAAGTCTTGATTCTCATTTTTTTCCCCTTACCTCTGCCCTCCCTTCACCCCCTCCTCCCCTCCCCATCTACAAACACTTTATTTTCATCTTTTCATTCTCTCACATTTTTTTCTTTTCCCTTTTTGTTCTTCCCCTACGTATCACACCTTCCCTACACCTTTAGCTCCTTTCCTCCCATTTCTAAATGTCAGTAATCTTATTAGAATCTTATGCATTGTTGCAGAATATTCACACCAGGGAAACTATTTGGTATTTACACATGTGGGACTTATTTATTTCACTTAGGAGTATATCTTCAATATGTATCCATTTTCCTATGAATGAATCTATTCTCTCGCTCTTTATGGCTGAGTAATATTCCATTTTATAGAAAAACCACAACTTCTTTATCCAGTTTCCAACGGATGGGCAAATAGGTTGTTTCCAAGATTTAGCTATTACAAACTGTGCCGCTATAAACATGGGTGCACATACTTCTCTGTGATATGATTCTTTTAGTTCTCTTGGAAAGATACCCAACAGAGGGATGGCTGGGTCAAATGGAACCTCCAGTCCAAGCTCTTTGAGGTATCTCCATATTGATTTCCATAGTGGTTGCACTAGTCTGCACTCCCACCAACAATGGAGGAGGGTTCCTTTCTCCCCACAACCCCGCCAACATTTGTTATTGTGTGATTTCTTGATAGCAGCCATTCTTTGTGGGGTGAGGTGGAATCTCAGTGTTGTTTTCATCTGCATCTCTCGAATGACCAGTGATGTGGAACATTTTTTCATATATTTTCTTGCTGCTTTCACTTCTTTGTATGAGAAATGTCTGTTCATTTCGGATGCCCATTTTTGGATCGGGTCTTTATATTTGGGGGGACTGATTGTTTTGAGTTCTTTATATATCCTTGATAATAGTCCTTTGTCTGAGGTACAGCTGGTAAAAATTTTTTCCCACATTGTAGATTGTCTCTTAGTTCTGCTAATGGTTTCTTTTGAAGTACAGAAGCTTTTTAGTAAGATGAGATCCCAGTTGTTGATTCTTTCTGCTAGTTCCCGTGCTACTGAGGATTTGTTCATAAAGTCTTTTCCTATACCAATGTCTTCCAGAGTTCTGCCTAACTTACCTTCCAGCAAGTTTAATGTTTCTGTTTTAATATTTAGATCTTTAATCCATTTGGATTTTAATTTAGTGCATGGCGAAAGATAAGGGTCTAATTTTAATCTGTGGCAGGTTGACATCCAGTTTTTCCAACACCATTTATTAAAGAGGCTATCTTTCCTCCACTGAGGATGGTGAGCTCCTTTGTCAAAGATGAGGTAGCTGAGTACATCTGCATTTGTTTTTGTGTCTTCCAGTCTGTTCGAGAGGTCCTTAACTTTATCATTCAAGTCTTTTGAATTTTGACTTCTCATTTCTAATTTCCAAAAGTTTTATGATTTTAAATATAAATTCCAGTTTTAGAGATATAATCATACCTCCCTTGTAAGTGGTTTTACTAAGATGCCCAGTGAAGACTGTGATGCTTCTATGAGAAAGGGACATTGAGTAATCAATTGAAAGGACATAGCTGGAAATTGATCTGGAGCTTCCCTGACAGTCCTGCTGGAGAATTTACATAGACAACCTCCAATATACATTCTCTGGGTCTGTACTTGTAAAGACCCAGAGAACTGGCTCAGAGAAGAAGTCAGAGAAACTGACTTTGGCGGTCAGTTTCCCCAAGAGAATCCTTTCTGACCCCTTTAGGATAGAAATGTCTAAGCCTTGCTACCAAAAATCCAAGATGGGTAAGGACTGGCAACTTAACAATGGGAATTGTTTTTTCTCTCCATCTGGTATTTGCTATTTGCAGCCTGCCTAGTGTTCCCTGGTCGGAGACCTGTTTTTCTGCCCTTAGATAATAAATCTATGGTCTTTATCAGACAAAGAATTATCACCTGGCTGCTAGATGCTCTGGAGGGGTCTTGCTTAAAGCAGGCTTTGAAAGCAAGACTCTTGTTTCTAGTACCTTCAGCATCCTCTTCAGATTCTGAGGCTTCAGTTTTATTCCACAGCTTTTCCTGTGAACTTGAGTATTCAGCATTCTCTAGTATAAGGCATTTATTATTCCCAGTTTCCACATTGTCATTCTATTTTAACAAGAAGCCAACTCATGGTCTCTCACGATACCCTGAATGTTCTTTTCATGTCAGTATAATCTTTAATCACTTACTAATTTATCTTCCTTATTCCTCCTATCTGGCAGAATTTTAGCTCTGAGGGAAGACTGTCTGCCTCTTTCTTTCCCATACCCATCATAGCATTGAACTATGGTGTTAGGGGATGGTATGTATATAAACATGTGTGACAATGAGTCTGGGTTCAAGTCTTAACTCCATTATGTAGTAAAATATAATCCTGGATAAATAATTACCTGCGGCTCATTTCCCTCATCAGTAAAAGTAGATTACCCTCTCTCTTACCTATTTGGGGATCTAATCAAATGATTCAAAGTGCTCAGTACATAACTGGCACCTGTTAAGAAACCAGTAAATGCTAAGGCTGGTGTAGGATAAACAAAATTCAATTAAGTATCCTAACAGATGGCTTGAAAACATGGCGAGGGGTGCGTATTTATGTCCGGGCATGTGCTTTTGTCCTTTCATTAATCACCAGGGGGTCTTCTGTTCCTTCTTCTCTGCAACAGGATATCCATCACGAGGGTCACCGCAGACATCTCCCTTGCCAAACGCTCAGTATTAAACAATCCCAGTAAGCACGCCATAATAGAAAGGTCGAACACAAGGTCGAGCTTAGGTAAGTCTGTGCCACACTGGCGACTCTCTGCCTACTTAAACATTCCTCTCCTAAAGAGGACACTGAGCTCTAACTGGCAATTCCATGGGCCCCAGAGCACAGGAAAAGCAGGCATCTTGTCAGTAGCTGGTGCCAGCTAGTCTCGAAGACCTAATGGTATGGAAGGATTTGTTGCAATGGTTTCAAGTTCAGAATTCCATGTGCCATCAGCCTTGATGCTCTGGTTGGAGTTTTCTTTCACTGATGTGAGATGGATACCTGAATTACATCAATTATGAAGTCATGTTCAGTAAATCCTCAGTCTCTTGAGTTTTTGCCTCACAGGAAAGACATGGACAAAAACTTTGTGACAGATAAGCTAGCCAGTGTCTTGAGTCCTGAAGAAGTAGCAGGCCAAGGAGTACAGAGCAAGCTAAAGAGGAGGGTATAATTTTATAACAGGAAGGCCTCTCTGAGGAAGTAACATTTTAGCAGAATGACCTAGGTTACAGTGCCAGCAACACTTTTCTCAACAAGGAACCTTTTTCGCTTACATCTTTCCCCCCAGTTACCTGTAGATTATGTGGAAGAAAGTCACACAAATTTAAACAAGTTTATTAGTTAACACACTATTTTATACTTATAGTGTTATATACCTATAGTCCAAACGAGGTCAAGTATATACTTCAAGAGTCTCTTAAATCTTAAGTTTTTCAGAAGTCTTTTTTTCCTTATTTTTGCTCAAAGAACTGGGTCACTTATTCTGTACGTTACTATTAACAGTCCAAATTTTGCTAAGTGCATTGCACTGGTGCAGTTTATATTATTCCCTTTCTTATGAACTGGTAAATTCAGAAGCTTGATCAAATTTCAAGACCATCACGGGTGATATGGAACCAAATGTTATTTTAAAGGTATCTCTACATGCTTGGGTCCCTGTTTTCTTAAGTACGTCAAGGAAAATAAAAGGACTCTGGTCATAGCAGATTGTGAGGTTAACAATTAGTGACTTGCCTTTTCTAGAATATACTCGGTGAAACGATCTTCAGGAAACTTTTGGCATGAATACCAGTGCGTAAGAAGAGTTAAAGGTATTCCCAGGTTCTGACGTGCTGACCAGAAGTCTCAGCGAACTGACCACAAGCTCCACGTCATTCTGTACAGATCGATTATGTTGCTTAGTGAAACAGCTTCTGGATGTTATTAAACCTTTTAAATTTCGTTCATATTTGCTACATTTCAAGTGCAAAGTAGCCACACGTGGCAAACAGCAACCACAGAGAATATTCAATTGGATAGTACCAATTAGAATCTTGTGACAAGATCACACAGCGGCAGATAAACTGAATACAATTTTCCTGGAGTGCAAGTAGCTTTTTAAATGTTTGGTAATAGGTTTCCTGTAAATTTTATAGCTTGGATTTCTATAGTGTTGTTTCTATTACACAGCTGTCCTTTTAAAACGTGTTAGTACAGGACTACTCCCTTGTTGGCAGAAAATATGAGAAGTGTTTTCAGACAAGTTTTTAATATTCAGACAAGTTTTTAATAGGCATCCTTCATGTCTCTCCTGATTTACATTGTGCTATGTCTTGATTAAAAGTGTATCTCGACAGAATAGTAATGGATACAAACACAGACAAGCTCATTCAGTGAAAAGTGAGCTGGAAATGGTTGCTAGAGGAAAGTGGTGAGAAACATGACAAATACACCTGAAATTTTTAATAACATTTTTATGAAATCCATAGAATCAAAGTTTTATAACATGAAAAATTAGTCAGCAGAGACAGTATACTGGCAGCAAAGTTTAGGGCTGGCTAAATCAATTCTTTAGTTTCTAAGAGCGAACAACTGGCCCTTTCTAAAGGATACCTTCTGTCAAGTGTATGCCTATAAATAGTAATATAATGACACTTCCTGTTGAAGAGCAATAGTGCATCACTTTACTTAATTCTAAATAAACTCTGCTTAACTTTTTACAGCGGAAGTTCAGAGTGAAATTGAAAGGATCTTTGAACTTGCAAGAACACTGCAATTGGTAGTCCTAGATGCAGATACTATTAATCACCCAGCCCAACTGAGTAAAACCTCTCTGGCCCCTATAATAGTCTATGTGAAGATTTCTTCTCCTAAGGTAAGTAAGGTTGCTACTGTTTGCTCCATATAGTCAGACATTACTAAAATGTGTTTTATGTTCTGTTTTCCAATTATAATGGGCTATGCCTTAAAATGGACATGTACAGAGTTTGAAGAAATGCATCAGTCAATATATATATAT